TCTCCTACTCACCTGCCAGGTTCTCCTACTTATCTTCCAGGTCCACCTACTCACCTGTCAGATGTACCTGCTCACCTGCCAGGTTTGCCTACTCACCTGTCAGGTTCACCTATTCACCTGCCAGGTTCACCTACTCACCTGCCAAGTTCATCTACTCACCTTCCAAGTTCACCTACTCACCTGCCAAGTTCACCTACTTACCTGCCAGGTTTACCTACTTACCTTCCAAGTTCACCTACTCACCTGCCAGGTTCACCTACTCACCTTCCAAGTCACCTACTCACCTGCCAGGTTCTCCTACTCACCTGCCAGGTTCTCCTACTCACCTGCTAGGCTCACCTACTTGCCTTTCAAGTTTACCTACTCACCTGCCAGGTTCACCTACTCACCTTCCAAGTTCACCTATTTACCTGCCAGGTTCACCTACTTACCTTCCAAGTTTACCTACTCGCCTGCCAGGTTCACCTACTTACCTTCCAAGTTCACCTACTCATCTGCCAGGCTCTCCTACTCATTTGCCAGGTTCACCTACTTACCTTCCAAGTTCACCTACTCACCTGCCAGGTTCACCTACTCACCTGCCAGGTTCTCCTACTTACCTGCCAGGTTCTCCTACTCATCTGCCAGGCTCACCTACTTGCCTTCCAAATTCACCTACTCACCTGCCAGGTTCACCTACTCACCTTCCAAGTTCACCTACTTACCTGCCAGGTTCACCTACTTACCTTCCAAGTGCACCTACTCACCTGCCAAGTTCATCTACTCACCTTCCAAGTTCACCTACTCACCTGATAAGTTCACCTACTTACCTGCCAGGTTCACCTACTTACCTTCCAAGTTCACCTATTCACCTGCCAGATTCTCCTACTCACCTGCCAGGTTCTCCTATTCACCTTCCAGGTCCACCTACTCACCTGTCAGATGTACCTGCTCACCTGCCAGGTTTACCTACTCACCTGTCAGGTTCACCTATTCACCTGCCAGGTTCACCTACTCACCTGCCAAGTTCATCTACTCACCTTCCAAGTTCACCTACTCACCTGCCAAGTTCACCTACTTACCTGCCAGGTTTACCTACTTACCGTCCAAGTTCACCTACTCACCTGCTAGGTTCACCTACTCACCTGCCAGGTTCTCCTACTCACCTGCCAGGTTCCCCTACTCACTTGCCAGGCTCACCTAATTGCCATCCAAATTCACCTACTCACCTGCCAGGTTCACCTACTCACCTTCCAAGTTCACCTACTTACATGCCAGGTTCACCTACTTACCTTCCAAGTTCACCTACTCACCTGCCAAGTTCATTTACTCACCTTCCAAGTTCACCTACTTACCTACCAGGTTCACCTACTTACCTTCCAAGTTCACCTATTCACCTGCCAAGTTCTCCTACTCACCTGCCAGGTTCTCCTGCTCACCTTCCAAGTCCACCTACTCACCTGTCAGATGTACCTGCTCACCTGCCAGGTTTACCTACTCACCTGTCAGGTTCACCTATTCACCTGCCAGGTTCACCTACTCACCTGCCAAGTTCATCTACTCACCTTCCAAGTTCACCTACTCACCTGCCAGGTTCACATACTCACCTTCTAAGTCACCTACTCAATTGCCAGGTTTACCTACTCACCTTCCAATTTCAGCTACTTACCTGCCAGGCTCACCTACTTGCTTTCCAAGTTCACCTACTTACCTGCCATGTTCACCTACTCACCTTCCAGTTTCAGCTACTTACCTTCCAAGTTTACCGACTCGCCTGCCAGGTTCACCTACTTACCTTCCAAGTTCACCTACTCACCTGCCAGGTTCTCCTACTCACCTGCCAGATAATGCAATAGAAGAACAAGCAGTAATTCAGTGGAGCTTTATCACCCACAGTGGGGCTTTATCACCCACAGTGAGGCTTTAACACCCACAGTGGAGCTTTATCACCCACAGTGGAGCTTTATCACCCACAGTGGGGCTTTATCACCCACAGTGGGGCTTTATCACCCATAGTGAGGCTTTATCACCCACAGTGGAGCTTTATCACCCACAGTGGAGCTTTATCACCCACAGTGGGGCTTTATCACCCACATTGGGGCTTTATCACCGACATTGGGGCTTTATCACCCACAATTGAGCTTTATCACCCACATTGGGGCTTTATCACCCACAGTGGAGCTTTATCACCCACAGTGGTGCTTTATCACCCACAGTGGGGCTTTATCACCCACATTGGGGCTTTATCACCCACAGTGTAGCTTTATCACCCACAGTGGGGCTTTATCACCCACAGTGGGGCTTTATCACCCACAGTGGGGCTTTATCACCGACATTGGGGCTTTATCACCCACAATTGAGCTTTATCACCCACAGTGGAGCTTTATCACCCACAGTGTAGCTTTATCACCCACAGTGGGGCTTTATCACCCACAGTGGAGCTTTATCACCCACAGTGGAGCTTTATCACCCACAGTGGTGCTTTATCACCCACAGTGGAGCTTTATCACCCACAGTGGGGCTTTATCACCCACAGTGGGGCTTTATCACCGACATTGGGGCTTTATCACCCACAATTGAGCTTTATCACCCACATTGGGGCTTTATCACCCACAGTGGAGCTTTATCACCCACAGTGGAGCTTTATCACCCACAGTGGTGCTTTATCACCCACAGTGGAGCTTTATCACCCACAGTGGGGCTTTATCACCCACAGTGGGGCTTTATCACCGACATTGGGGCTTTATCACCCACAATTGGAGCTTTATCACCCACATTGGGGCTTTATCACCCACAGTGGAGCTTTATCACCCACAGTGGGGCTTTATCACCGACATTGGGGCTTTATCACCCACAGTGGGGCTTTATCACCGACATTGGGGCTTTATCACCCACAGTGGAGCTTTATCACCCACAGTGGGGCTTTATCACCGACACTGGGGCTTTATCACCCACAGTGGGGCTTTATCACCGACATTGGGGCTTTATCACCCACAGTGGAGCTTTATCACCCACAGTGGGGCTTTATCACCGACATTGGGGCTTTATCACCGACATTGGGGCTTTATCACCCACAGTGGGGCTTTATCACCCACATTGGGGCTTTATCACCCACAGTGGAGCTTTATCACCCACAATTGAGCTTTATCACCCCAGTGGGGCTTTATCACCGACATTGGGGCTTTATCACCCACAGTGGGGCTTTATCACCGACATTGGGGCTTTATCACCCACAGTGGAGCTTTATCACCCACAGTGGGGCTTTATCACCGACATTGGGGCTTTATCACCCACAGTGGAGCTTTATCACCCACAGTGGGGCTTTATCACCGACATTGGGGCTTTATCACCCACAGTGGAGCTTTATCACCCACAGTGGGGCTTTATCACCCACAGTGAGGCTTTATCACCCACAGTGGTGCTTTATCACCCACAGTGGAGCTTTATCACCCACAGTGGAGCTTTATCACCCACAGTGGGGCTTTATCACCGACATTGGAGCTTTATCACCCACAGTGAGGCTTTATCACCCACAGTGAGGCTTTATCACCCACAGTGGTGCTTTATCACCCACAGTGGAGCTTTATCACCCACAGTGGGGCTTTATCACCCACAGTGGTGCTTTATCACCCACAGTGGAGCTTTATCACCCACATTGGGGCTTTATCACCCACAGTGGTGCTTTATCACCCACAGTGGGGCTTTATCACCCACAGTGGTACTTTATCACCCACAGTGGAGCTTTATCACCCACATTGGGGCTTTATCACCCACAGTGGTGCTTTATCACCCACAGTGGTGCTTTATCACCCACATTGGGGCTTTATCACCCACAGTGGTGCTTTATCACCCACAGTGGTGCTTTATCACCCACAGTGGAGCTTTATCACCCACAGTGGAGCTTTATCGCCCACAGTGGGACTTTATCACCCACAGTGGGGCTTTATCGCCCACAGTGGAGATTTATCACCCACAGTGGGGCTTTATCACCCACAGTGGGGCTTTATCACCCACAGTGGGGCTTTATCGCCCACAGTGGAGATTTATCACCCACAGTTGGGCTTTATCACCCACAGTGGGGCTTTATCACCCACAGTTGGGCTTTATCACCCACAGTGGGGCTTTATCACCCACAGTGGGGCTTTATCACCCACAGTGGAGCTTTATCACCCACAGTGGGGCTTTATCACCCACAGTGGAGCTTTATCACCCACAGTGGGGCTTTATCACCCACAGTGGAGCTTTATCACCCACAGTGGAGCTTTATCACCCACAGTGGAGCTTTATCACCCACAGTGGAGCTTTATCACCCACAGTGGGAGCTTTATCACCCACAGTGGGGCTTTATTACCTACAGTGGGACATCAGGTCAGTAGTAAAGTCTGGTTATACACGATCTCTCCTGCAATAAGGAATTATCTGCTTAGAGTGTAGTTAAATAAATTTTTACTGGCCTATTGTCACTCTTGTGTTCACAACTCGGGGACTCACTGTATTCCTGGCTTCATCAGTCATGTTGTACCTACTCCTCAAACTGTGTATTATACTCTGTTTCCAGCTCTTGTTCCTGCAGATGGTTGCACCTGTCAACACAGTACTTCCTGTCATGCTTTCCATTTATGTATTTAAATTTCCCTCTATTGCTGCTCCCTGTCTCCGGTTCCCTCGTTTCCATCTGTCTGTTTCTATCCAGTCGACTCTACCGAGTAACTTGCACGTCGTAATCATGTCTCCTCTGTTTCTCCTCTCTTGCATCATTATGAGGTTTACCTCCTTGAGCTTCCCTAGATCATTCCTCTTGGCTCCTGGACTAGTATTATTGCGGTTCTCTAGACTTTCCATAGTTTCTGGATATCCCATCCAGTTACTGTCCAGACCACGAGATGTTCTCCTGACCTGCAGTTTTCGATACACACACAGGCGCAGGGCGACGCTACACACCTTCCTCACCACTGGTCGTATCATAGCACACTCAAACGCGTAACTTTAAAGAGAGGAAAATTTTTTTCGTGAACCGGATCCGTGAGTGTGAGGAGCGGCGACACCTGGCAGCTCCAGGGTCAGCACTATATAAGGTGAAGAGGTCTTGCAGGAACTCATTCTTGCCTGAGCAGCCACGACGGCAACATAGTCCTAGTCCTCTGAATTACTTCTCCCCTCTTATACTCCAGACGAGGTAAGTCAATATCAAGGTTGTGGTGTTGGTTTTAGGAATTCTGAATTGTTTTTTCTGCTCGGTGTGTCTAGCATATTATTTGTAGGTTGTTGGGATAGGATTTATAATTAACGTCTTTTGTTATGTAATTCCCAAGAACTGTGATATGTGAATGTTACAAGGTGAAGGATGTGTGATTTGTTCCTGCCATCACCACACATCCTTCCTCTCTCTCTCTCTCTCTCTCTCTCTCTCTCTCTCTCTCTCTCTCTCTCTCTCTCTCTCTCTCTCTCTCTCCTTCTCTCTCTCTCTCTCTCTCTCTCCCTCTCTCTCTCTCTCTCTTTCTCCCCCACGTGTTCCTTTCCCCAGTCACTCTCTCTTCCTTCTCCTTCGTGTTCCTTCCCCTCGCTCTCTCTCCCCCGTCCCCATCCCCCACTGCCCCAGGTGCCCCCCACCTTTCCTCTGGATAACGTAAGGAAGGTGAAACTAGTGTGATGGTCTCCCTCGGTAAAGCTGACACCATCTGCAGAGAAAGTCGCTCCCACACGACATGCGTCGTGCCTGGCTTCTTGATGATGCGTCGCCTGCTGCACAACGCACATATCTCCCAGGACAATGCACACGCCTCCTGAAGCGACTTATACGTCTGGTGTAGGATGCATAGATCCAGAGTTCACGAGGATCACTAGTTGCTGTCCCGATCAGGTCTCCTGAGGGTCTGTGTTCACAGTCGTCTTAACAGGAGTCTTCTGGCAGGGCTGCATCTGCTCTTGTTGCCACCTCCCTAGTTAAGAACGATAATAAATTTGTTGAGTTAGGCATAAGAATTAACAACTGGGCATCTACACTGCAAACTGAATTGTTTGCAATCCTAATGGTGCTAAAGTTAACCTATGACACTGAGCTTGACTCTATCATCATTACTGATTCTATGTCGTCATTGAAGGCTCTTGACTCATATAATGACTCCAACAACATGCTCATTGGAGAAGCCAGGTGTAGATACTCAAAAATCAGGGACAAAGGAATTAATGTATAATTGCTATGGATCCCATCATACATTGGATTACTCCTTCATGATAAAGTTGATATGTTAGCCAAGAAGAGTACCCAGAAGGAGAATGTAGAATATAACTTTGGTATAAAATGTGTCTAGCATTAGGAATAATATTAGGAGAGAAGTAAATAATGAAAATGATTGTTATAGGAATGCAGTTAGAAGCCTGAGTAGATCTATAACCCACTATGATAACATGAACGTGGATAAGTATGTTTATGGAGCAACTTGCAATGTGAACAGACTGACTGATGTTGTAGTGGCCAGGCTTAGGCTTGGTTACAAGTACTTCTGGCAGTTTGGGAGACACACAGATGATGATCAAACTAAATGTAAATTATGTGATCAGGCATATGGTCACTCTCTTGAACACTATGTGCTTAATTGTCCACTTATTGAGGAATACAGAGACAGACAGTATAATAACCTATGTGACATGTCAAGATATCTTATTAATGTAAATAAGATACCAGAAATACTAAGCAAATTTCCTAAATTTGCTTGTAACAGATAAGTGAACTGTAGATATATAGATAAATAAAAACCCATATGTACACCTGTTAACCCTTTTGGGGCCTAGTTCCTAGGCCTTTTCTGTATCCATATGCTCTTGTGCTACCTTCCACAGGATGGATATGGGGTGCACAATAAACTAGCCACTTCGGTGGCAAAATCTAATAGTCTTTACGGGGGTCGAGACTCAGCTCTTGGCCCTCTTCTTGATCTTCAGTTAGCCGATATTACTGGTTCATGGGTTTTGTCAAACCTTTTTGTAGCACTTTCCACTTGTTTACCACCCAATGGCTGAAGAAGTGTTTCCTAAGATCCCTTTAACTCATCTGTTTTTTAGCCTCTGCCAATCCTTTATGCCCCTGTGCTTCTTGTTTCACAAAGTATGCCCTTGTCTGCTCTGTTTAATCATCTTAGTATCTTGTATATCGTTATCATGTCTCCCCTGGTTCTTTTCTCTTCTAAGTTTGTTATATTTAAATATCTAAGACTTTCTACATAGTTTAGACACACTGTGTCGTTTGTGACATTTATAAAGAACATATTTTCATCTCAGTAAATGACATAGAGCGCATAATCTTATTCATAAAGTTGTCGGTATATTTTACCTATGATATACATTCCTAGTATACTCTGTACAGGTGTGCACAATGTTAGTGCTGACACTTAAAGTGGGACTTACGTAGTGTAATGTGTATTGAGTCTTCGTTGTCTACCTTGCATGCTGTGCCAGTGTTAAGGGTGCATGTGTACCTGGGGAATATGCTCGGCGTAAAGCTCACTCCCAGACCCTTCTACTCGCACACTCTTCGTAGTTCTTTCTCTTTTGGTTCGCACTTTGTTTGCGTTCTTACTTTGCATTTCTTTGGACTGAACACCAGTAGCAACTTGTCTGATAACTCCTGCAGGCTCTTCAGGTCTTGGTTTTAGAAACACACTTAAACAAGCACTAACATTATAAAAGCAGCAGCTTCCTCACAACAGAGGAGTCACGTGACCTCATTGTCTACCTGACCTCATCTCAAAAATGTCACTTTTCAGGTCACAGTGTGTCACTCTCGACTCTCTGTCTGTATATATACTGTTATTTTTAAACTTTGTATGTTAGAAGTGATCAAGATCCCAAGAGCGAAACGTTTGCTAATATGTCATAGTGTTTGTTTACGTGTCTTTCCAAACTAATTTTTTGGCATCTGTTACCCAGGTTTATACCAGACTGTCTTCAGGTCTTCTTGTAACTAGTCATTCTCCTCTCCTCTTATTTTTCTTCTTCTTTTTTTTTTTCTTCTTCTTCTTCTTCTTCTTCTTCTTCTTCTTCTTCTTCTTCTTCTTCTTATTATTATTATTATTATTATTATTATTATTATTATTTATTATTATTATTATTAATTTCCGAATGTTAAGAACAGTGAGGGGTCCAGTACCAGACCTTGGGAACATCACCCAGATGTTACTGTGATGATAGCAACTTTCCCCCCCCTCTCCCTTCTCTCCCCCTTCCTTCCCTTTTCTCCCCCTTCCTTCCCTTCCCTTTCCCCTCCTTCCCTTCATTCACTTCCCCTTTACTTATCGGACGTAGGATCGAACCTCCACCACTCCCTGAGCTGACAAACTCACATGGGTTTAGAACTTATCGAAAATAGTAACTTACGAAATCTGTACAGCGTGACCACTGTCATTATTATTATCATTATCGTTGTCTCTCTCTCTCTGTCTCTGTCTCTCTCTCTCTCTGTCTCTCTCTCTCTCTCTGCGGTGGTTATGGTTAATAGAGTACATGATGGTAGCGGCATCATGGCACCTGGTGGAGAGTATGACTCTCGTCAGTGTGAGGCGTAAACTGTTTTCTTTTTCCTGGTCTTCAACGCTCTCCTGCAGCTTCTTCAGTTTACTTTCAACACACCGCATACCTGTGACATTGTACCCGTTATTATACGCTCAGGTTCTAGGTGAATTTAATAAGTAGCTCCAGTCTTGGGTTTACTAGCGCCAGTCATGGGTTCACTAGCGCTAGCCAAGGGTTCACTAACACTGGCCAGACTTGGGTTTCACTTTCGACAGACAGTTTCTCCTGGGGAGTTAATGCCAGGCCAGACAGTGTGGCGCCTCCCTTGTTCTGCCGGGGACTTTTTTTGTATAATAAAAATGGATACTCCTGCATCAGTGGCTTCCCTGGCATGGAAAGGTCATGACTAAGGTTTTTTGAGTGAATTGGTGCAGCTTATAATAATATTTAGCTTGAAGAAGGGAGAGAGAGGGAATATTAATGGAAACATTGTTTCAACACTACTGCACCACACCCTGACAGGTGTGGTGCCTCTCTACTGTGGTACACCTGGCCTAGGGAAAGTATCCGGCCAGGTGTGGGTGTTTTCGCTTTTTTTATATATAAACTTTAAATAGACAATATTTTCCATTCATAATACAGGGAAAGCGAGGGCTTCAGATGGCCAGTCGCTCGCCGGCTCCAGAGTCACTATCAGGAATAGTAAAGTGTGGAGGAGTGTACAGCTCAGTTTGTTGGAGATTTGTCAACCAGATGGTGTTGTAGCTCAGTTGTACAGTGGTCGGCTCACAACCAAATTGAACTGAGATGATTCTCGGGCTGAGTGGAAGGTATGAGCAAACTTCCTTGTCACCTGCTTATCTTATTGACCCAGCGGCAAGAAGGTACCTAATTGCTAATGGATTGTTGTTGGTCTCCTCCTAGTGAAGGTGCGCAGTATATATAAGCCATCTAGCTGGATTATCCTCGGTTAATAACTCAGGATACCATCTTTAAGATCGCTTAATTTTAAACGAGGCAATGATATAATTTTTTGGCAGAGAAAGTGCTTCTCTAGAATTACTTGGTTGAGACAGCCGTACTCAGGAAGTACTTAGTTGAGACAGCCGTACTCAGGAAGTACTTGGTTGAGACAGCCGTACCCAGGAAGTACTTGGTTGAGACAGCCGTACTATGGAAGTACTTGGTTGAGACAGCCGTACCCAGGAAGTACTTGGTTGAGACAGCCGTACTATGGAAGTACTTGGTTGAGACAGCCGTACCCAGGAAGTACTTGGTTGAGACAGCCGTACTATGGAAGTACTTGGTTGAGACAGCCGTACTATGGAAGTACTTGGTTGAGACAGCCGTACTGTGGAAGTACTTGGTTGAGACAGCCGTACTCTGAAAGTACTCACTGTTTCAGTGATAAATAAATATGGAATATACTCAGGTCTGATCCAACAAAGGAAAGAGAGAGACAGAGAGTAGCTCCAATATCCTGTATCAAGAAACCAGAGTTGATTTCCACTAAGTGATATATCACAATCACTGTAGTTACTAGAGAGAGAGAGAGAGAGAGAGAGAGAGAGAGAGAGCGTGGAGGTGTCCATGGAGTGAGGTATGGTATGGGAGTATTGTGTGGTGCCACTGAAGAACCACGACCCTGGCATCAAGTCCCTGCAGACT